AAAAATGGCAGGTCACGAGGTGCCATGTGGATGAGGGGAAATGGTGACCAGGAAAAGGGATGTGCGTATCTGCAGTGGGGATCAGGGTGCTACTGGGGAGAAGGGCATGTAATGTCCACTGTAACCCAGAGCTCACAATACTGCCATTTGCCAAAGGACAGTCCTATTCCTCGAATGCACCAGCTAAAAAAGTTGGGGAAAGAGCTTCTGATTCTCCAGTGCTGCTTCACCTCTCCTCCTACTGCAGACTCACATGAGTATTGCTTAGATTGAATTGTTTTCCTAAAGCTCTCTCTCCAAGCCCTAAATACCTTACTACCCATTCTGCAAATGTACCTGCCTCCAGCTACAGCTGTAAACAGCAGAAGATATGCCAACAAGCTGCTCCTCGACTCTGGCAGGCTCCCTCCTTTTCCTTTGCATCTCCATACCCCACCCCCAAATGAGCTTAGGTAGACTTAAATTTTAAACAGATCAGTTGTTTTTAATGGAAATTTAAATTGAACTAGAGACTGAAAGCATTAAGGGGCTACAAGTTGCCCAGCTGGGACCTGTGGGAGGCATTTCCCATGGCTCCAAGACAGAGGTGGTGGCATGCTCAGTGTAAGCCCCAGGAACCGCATCTTGAGAACGTTGTAGGTGATAGGGGTTTTGGAGTAATTTTCTTTGACCTCGGCCTCTTAAGTCAGAGAAAGAACACTCTAGGGAGTGATTTTGATCCAGTTCTTGGCTCTATGGGATACCGAGATCTATGGTGTCACCTTCCTCCTGGGCCTGGATGACCAAAGGGAGGGGAGTGTTTGCTGGAAAGTGTCCCCACCCCTGCACAGCCCTCCCCACCTTGGGCCTTCCCAATGGTTGGGGAGAGTTCGGGCAGGCAGAGACATCCTTAATTTAAGAAACCTCAGCATCCTATTTCTTAAACACAAAAGATGAGAGTGCACACCAAAGAGAGAAAGGAATCCTTTGAATCGATTGGTGACAAGAATGGAGCCTTCCAGTGTGGTCGCAGAGGTGCAAGCTTTGGAGTCTCAGACTTCTTTTAGTTTTTTCTTGATTGCATATGTTTTAAGTTTTTATATTTTAGTTGTGAAATGTATCAAATATACAGAAGTCTAAAAAATAAGATATCCATATGCCCACTAACCAGATTTATAAATGTTAATATCTTGCAATATATATATATATATATTTTTGTCTTTTATCTTTTTCCATGTCCGGCAACGGATCGCAACCCTCAGTGTTGCCCCCGTACCGGACCGGGGACCGGCGACCGGCAACGGGATCGCAACCCTCGGTGTCGCTCCGGCGCCTCGCTCAGCCAGTGAGCGGGAACCGGTCTGTATGTGGGATCCGAACCCTCGGGCGGGAGCGCCCGCCGTGCTTCCCAAGTGGCGCACTTATCCAGTGCGCCACCGGGCCGGCCCCTTGCAATATTTTTTTAACAAAGAAATGGTATATTATAAATGTCACTAAAGCTCCATCCTCTGCCCCAGCCCTCCCTCTCCTCAGTAGTCAGTATCTGAAAAGTGGTGTTTATCACCCTCATGCATATTTTTGTACTTTAAAACTATAAATTTCCATATGTATAAACATTGCCTATGTGCATAATATTGCTTTGCATGGGTAAAAATTTTTACAAAAATAGCATCAAACCACACAACCTCTTTTGCAATCAGTCCTAACACTGCTGCTTGCTTGGAGAAATCATGGCTTGGTTGCATCACCTTCTGAGCCATGGGAAGGCATGTTAAAGTGCTGATTGTATTCATCCTGGCACAGTCCAGGTGAGCAAGGATGAGGGCCTGGAGAGGAGAAGACCAATTTGCTATTATGGACATGGAGTCAACAAGATTTTGTGACTAATTGATGTGTTGTGTGCGTAGAGGGTTGGGGGCAGGAAGGACAAGTGTGTTTGTAGTCCAGGTACCTGGCGGGGGGATTGGTGCCCGTCACTGAGCTGAGGAGCAGATGAGGGGATGCTGGCCATGTAGGGCGATGAGTCTCCCTTTTGACCTGTTGAGTTGGAGGTGGCTGCAGCACACCAGGTGGAAAGGCTCAGGAGGCAGGTGGACATTTGGACCTGAAATTCAGGGAACAGATCTGAGCTGTAGATGCCTCTTTGGGTTCCTTTAGCACCTGGTGAGCGTAACATTGGAAGTGGAGGTAGGTCAGTATAAGAGGCTCTTGTGGCACATTTACCTGGAATAGATAGCGTCGTTCAGCCTCGCCAGACTTCTACAGAAGTCTGTGGCAACAAGAGACCTGGGTGGAATTTCCTAATTGTCACGTCAACTTCAAAGGTTAGAGTTATGCTTGAACATGTTTTTCTTCTAATCACCTGTTGGGATCTCCTCATTTGTGAAATTACACGAAACCTCTCTGAAGGTAATTTCTACTTTGACTTTACCATGCCTTTATGTGAATAAGTTCATAGGCTTTGTTAGCCTTTACGTGGAATCCTTTCTATTTGCCTGAACTTGCCCCCTTGTGCTTCAAGCAGCTCCAGCCTTCCCTGGGATCTGACAGCAATGTGTGTGTAACCTAGTGCATTGTTCCCTTCCCAGGCATGGAGGCTGGGAATCCTGATCTTGAGTCTTTCTGCAGTGAATGTTTTCCTCCAGGACAGGAACCAGAAGGGCCATTCACTATGGTGCCCAGTAGCTCACCCCAGGCCTAGTGTGGGGCCTTAGGTCCATCTTCACTAGCGAGCAGCTGGCTTTTCATGGAGAAACATCTCCTTTTGCATCAAGGAGAGAGGCCTGCCCCCACCCCCCACCCCCAGTCCCAGCCCCTGCTTCAAGGCCAGCAAATCCTGAGAAGTTTCCTTTTGGACAATTGGAGTCCAGCTAGAGTAGCTCAAGTGAAAATATGGGGTGGGTCTGGGAAGAGTTTGGGTGGCGGCCACTCTTTTAAGGATCTAGGAAGACCTGGGGAGTTTAGGATAGAGAATGGCTGCGGGTGGGGTGGGAACCAGAGCAGCCCCAGGGCCTGATGTCTCTATATTGTCTCTGCTTTGTTTTCTCTCTTCTCCTGCTACTCCTTTTTCTCCTCCTCCTCCTCCTCCTCTTTTCTCTCTGTTCCTCCCTCCCTCTCTCTCTCCCTCTCTGTCACACTTGTGAGGAAGATGTCTCGGTGGTGGTTGCTCTCAGGGTCCCTCTTATTACCAACGATCTGTGTTTTTCCCTCTCCTTTCCTTCAGCTCTTATTTGGTTCTTTTCCCACTCCCCACCCCCCAGAACTGGCAGCTGGCTTCCTCAGAACCTACTGGCCCATAACTAACTGTCCAGGCTCCAATATCAAATGACCTTTTTGCCCTTAAGACCATGGCCACCTGGCAGTAATCTCTCTGTGTCCAGGATTCTGAGCTCCTAAGAAGGATCCGATCGGCTCCCTTCCTCCTCCTGAGCCCGCCCCCGACCCCCTGCACTGTTCCTGAGCTGTCACGCCCTGGGTGGTCAGCGTGGCAGGGGGCAGACTTTCCAGGGGCTGTGGGCAGGGACAAAATCCCTGAGAAGAGGGTGTGTGGGGGCAGAAGTTAACAGATACATCTAGCACAAGTGCCATATCCTAGAACCTGTCATGTTACCTATACATGTATATGGTCCCACATCTAGCTCAAGCTACAAATGGGAAGTCATGGTTTATAAACTGTTTCTTGTCACTCTGCACAAATTCAAGGGTAAACATCTCTGAAGTAATGAATTCAGCATTTTGCAGCCACACCAGACATGGCATGGAATTAAACACTCAGTCCAAGTGTTCATTTATTCATGTGCTAGGGTGGCAGGGATGGGCTTGCTAGATTGTGAACAAAATCATCCTGATGCATTAAGTGGAGATTGTGGACTGTGCTGTTTTCCCAGTCATGAATACTTTTGACACATGATCTGAAACATGTTTTCCCCAAAGCTGAGAGTCCTGTGTGATATTCATCAGGGCAGTGAATGGCAGAAGGCAGACCATGAGCCACCTCCCCCTGTCCTGTGCTCTGTGGCTGCCAATGCCACACCCTTGGGTCCCTTGTGGTCCTAAGTCACAAAACTAGCTATTATTGGATTTGCCTGGAGTGTCTGAAAACACTTGAATGGGAAAACCTTGTCCTACTTTTATACAACTGGAAAAAATTACAGAACTTGATTCTTGCAAATTTCAAAAAAACCCCACAAATCCATCTTGTACAACTTAGTCACACAGAAACATGAACAGGAAGAGAAAGTGAGCTTGCTTCCACGTCCCAGGTGGTTTTGATTTTGAAAACATGCCTCGAAATTCAGTGCCTTCAAATACAGGAAAGGGGTTTGGTTTTGCTTCTAATAAAACTACTCTCAAATGTCTCAGGCTCATCAAAGTTTACATTCAATCTCTTTTTCCACTTTTCTCTACCTGGATATTCTCATTACCTCTCCAGCTGCCGAGTCAATCAATATATACTGTGGGAAACATCTCCCCATGATCCAAATTAGGTGGGATCCAGTTCTGACAATGAGTTAATCATCACTAGAAGTGTTGGCAAGAGACGGGGATGTTTGTATACCTCGGGGACAGCTTAGCGCCACCGGATACATATTCTAGTCCAACCAACTGCCTTCCCTGGGCTTTCCTTCCCCGGGCTTTCCTTCCCCAGGCTTTCCTTCACCAAACTTCCTCCCCCTTAAGGAGGATAGCCAAAAGCAACTGTTGGGTCCCTGGTAATTTACAAAGTGAGAATGATACTTCAAAACAGTTGGCTGTGAGCTGACGTTGGTATTCAGTAATATGTTCCCATATAATGTTTCCTCTTGCAGAATTGTACAGTGGCCATGTGAGTGTTTTTTCCCTCAAAATCCAGCCAGTTTACTTTGAAAAGAAATTTTGGTAATTGGATTGCCACATTCCTGCATCTGTCTGTCACAAACTTCTATCTCTGTGGCCTCTAGCTCGTAGAAGAGATTCTGTCTCATGAGACAGGTTGTTATATGAAAGAAAAGAAAAGAGAAATGGCTTATGCTTGTGTCCCCTCTGTAGAATAAGAAGCTCTACTTGGACATTATTCACACATACATGGAAGTTCATGCGACTGTTTACGGCTCCAGCACGAAGAATATTCCCAGTTATGTGAAAAACCATGGTATCCTCAGTGGACGGGACCTGCAGTTTCTTCTCCGAGAAACCAAGGTAAGTTTTTAGTAGTTTTGTAAAAATTCACTACAGATGTTGTTTACAGGTTTGTTTCCATAGGTGTTAAAAGTAGGATCAGAGTCGTTCATGCTTTCTTTTGAACACCACAATAACTCTTTAGACCGTTCCTGGGCGGTGATTTGCTAGGACAGCTGTAGCTGAAAAGTTAGTGAATTGTGGAAGGAGGTTGCTACAGTTTTGTTCATTGATTTATTTAGAAGAAATATTTTCTGAGGACCTACTGTGTGCTAGGCATCAAGCAGAGGCAAGTAAGGCCCTGCCTCAAAGGATAGACCTCCTGATAGAACAGCAGTTTTCACAGTAAGCCACGGGTGTTGAACTCTGCCGTCCCCACCCCCCCATCACCACTGTTCAAGGACTTGGTTTCCCAGTCAGCTTTTCCTCTACCTCCTGGCTCAACAAGCACTGGACACTGAAGAATTTCAGATGAGGTGAAAGTCCCCACGGGCTCAAGAAAGAGGGAAAGAATCAAGGAAGATGTAAGAGAGGAAAGATGGATGAGGTGTGGGTGCATTAGGACCAGGCAGGTGTGAGTGTCAGGTGGCGGAGGTGCAGATGACATATTCAGGAGAGAGCTAGAAGCCAACTTCTCTGGTTTCAGTGCTGGAAAACAGTGGAAGATAAAATCTTATAAGGGGATGAGGGTCTAATTGTCACAGATACAGGCAGAGTTCATACCATGTGGTGTGGGTGGCTGGGGGAGCCACTGAGGATTCTTGTGCTAAGCAGTAGCAGCACCATGGCATGAGGTTTTGACACCATGGGCATGTGCACACCATGGTCTGTGTTCTTTCTGTAATTCTGCCAGGGAAGTACCAAAAGAAGTTAGGAGACTTTTGAATAAACCAAGTTTGGCCTTGAAGGGCTGGATGGCATTTCGGTGTATTAGATAAGCTCCCCCATGTGTACTAATAAGTTCTTATTTATGAATTTTATGAATACTTGTTGAACAGCTGCTACACGCCAGGCATTGTGAAAGGGATATAAGAGTGAAGAAAGCCAGGGGATCCCTCCCTGAGTGTTTCCTCAAGCACAGGGAAGCTTATCATCAGTATTGAATTTTTCAGCTCTAGTCCCCATCTCACTTTGTTTTCCTGTTCAAGGTCAGAGAGGGAGGTTGGGCAGATGGACTTCTCTGACATAATAGCGATTACTAATCATTGTGTGATACTTCATTTTTAGGAAGTGTATTCACATGTGCTGTCCTCTTTGATTCTAACAGCAGGCTTAAGAGGTAGACAGGGAAGGTATTGTTGACTTTATTTTAAACATGAGGAAATAGGCTAGAGAGTTTGGCTTGCCTGCAGTAAACTGGGGTCAAGTCTTGGAGGTGGCCCTAACTCATTTTTTATTACAAGTTAAAGCTCTGCTAGGTCCTCAGCGTAACATCCTCATAAACATCCAAACTTAAGAACACTTAATGAACACCCACCAGTCAAAAGAATATAAATCTCCTCTTTGCCTCAGTTTCTCCATCTGTAAATGTGTTTGATCCATTCTGCCTCCAAGTTGTTTGTGTGAGCCCACACATAAAACAGTTTGACAAATTCTTTAGCTCTTTGGCCAAAGACCTGGTTTGCCTCGATGAAGATTTCCTTTCAAGGTCATCTGTGGTCTGATGACTGCTTGTGGCTATCCAGGAGTGAAGTGTGTTCCCAGTTCTCACTGTTTGCTTTCCGTCACCTTCTCTTCTTAGGTTGACATTTTAGAACCATCAGAACGTCCAGGCCCTTTAACAGCAATGCCGTTTTGGCCATTTGCCTCATTTTACTTTTCTCCACCTCAGATTGTGGAAGAAGTTCAGGTTCCTTTAAATAACATTTAGCAGAGCGGGTTTTCAGCAGTGTGTCATTACTGTCTCGCACACTTCTGTTAACCCAGCCTCGTGAGTGTCTTGCTCAGCCTTGCAAATTTTAAAAGAACCTTACATACCTACCATCCATTCACCCTGTCAGACAATAGGAAGCAGGCCGAAATGGAGATCCCTGATGTCCAGGGGAGGACAAGAAAAGAGAGCCGGAAGGCCCAGGCCATGATGTCAGAAATTGCCTAATAACCAAGGATTACAGCTTCAGTTTTGAACATAAGGAGCATCTATTCATCCTTGGAAAACTTGTGCCTTCAGAGGATGTCACTGATCGTATTACATATTGCCTGTTTATCCGACTAGAATATATTAAAATATGCCAACTGGAATTATGGCTCAAACAGTTGGCAGATAAGGGGATGAGGCAGTATATCGCCAATGCTCCACTTACACCCAGAACACAGAAGCAGGTACTAAAATAAATGAATCTTGGGCTTGGAAATAATGACACAAAAGACCAGTCAGGCTTTGCATTTATAACCTTTTCTGCCTCTAACACCTTCTTCTATGTCTCTGAGTAATTTAAAAGCAATTTATTCCAATCCATGTTAGAAGTGGAAAACCGGAACTGCCGAGGAGCAAATGTCTGCAGAATGAATGGATTCACACACTCCTCAGTCTCCTCACTGGAGAGAGAAGTCTGGCCTTCTCAAGAGGTTTACAGACAGAGAAAATGTTTGATGCTTAATCAGCTCCTGACTTGTTATTTGTCTGTATGAGCCATCTCTGAATCTGCCCCAAGCCCAGGAAACTCTCTGCTCAGCAGAATTTCATCCTGGCATGCTATTAGGGCCCAGGCATCATTAGCAGACTCTTGCTTCAGGAGCCTGTGAAGACAGGAGGAATTCAGTATAACACTAAAATCGGGGCTGAGATTTCTGGGAAGTTGTTGGAATCTAGAAGACCCTTCTAATAGCAGTATGGATTTGGATGAATGAATTATTTATCAGAGGACCACAGACAAGTCCAGCAAACTCCAGGAGTGCAGTTTGAGCCAGCAAATCAGGACTCACTAGGGTGGCGTGTTTTTATTTTTGGCTTAAATCTCCATTTCTCAATGTGGTTTCTTTCTTCACCTTCCTAGTTTTAACCTCTCTGTGTCCACCTCCCACAATCTTCCCTTGGGAAGCTCCTGACTATATACACGATATTGCATAAGGAATGCACATCCTGCACTGGGACAGAGGAGCGTCTAGAGTCCACCAGAGTGATTTGTGAGCCAGACCAGGTACCTCCCTTTATACAATTGAGAACAAATTCTGCCTATGGAGAGCCAGAGGAAACTACTGCTGCTGATGCCATTGCAGCACCCCTTTTCTCCCCAAACCTTTGGTCATTCCTCCCTCCAAGACTTGGGGCCATGACAGTCCTGTTTCCCTACCATGTAAGCTATCAGCTTACCTGTGGGACTCACCTAGAGGCCTGGACAGGCTTGGCAGACATGCAGTATGTGCTGTTCTCATCCCATCCCGTCTTCATGACTGACCCCCTACCCTCAACACCCATCAACTGTGGCTCTTCCTACTGGGCTTTCATGTGGTTGAGAAACTGTTTCTCAAAAACCCAGGTGTAGTGGATTGAATTATGTTCCCCCAAAACTCACTGAGGCTTGAATTGTGTCCCCCAACTTTTATGTATTAGAAACTTAGCCCCCCACTGTGACTGTTAAGAGGGTGGGAAATCCTATCATGGTAATTGAAAGGTGGAGCCTTGAAGAGGTGATTGGATTGTGGGACCATGCCATAGTGAATGGATTAAAAAATGGTGGTCGGGGCATGGTTCTGAGGACTTTAAAAGAAGAGAGTCTTTCTCTCTGCTTCCACCGTTTTGCAATATGAGGCCCCCTAGGTCACTGTTGCCACCACCAGATGGACTTTGGACTTCCCAGTCTCAGAAACTGTAAGCAATACATTTTGTTTTCTTATAAATTACCTTGTTCCAGGTATTTTGCTATAAGCAACAGAAATGGACTGATACACCAGGGCTTGAGGCAGCCACCATTGTTGGAACCAGACTCTCATGCAGCTCCCTGAGGACAGAAGGGCTTGCTTGTTCTATTCACAGGACATCACCTGTGCCCAGAACAGTGCCTGGCTTGTAGACAGCATTTAGATAATAGTACAAAGAATAAAGGAAGAAGTCCAGATGAAACCCATTGGCCAGCTGGGACCTCGGGGCCATGCACTGGATCTCCAAGATCTCTCCAGCAAGGGACACTGCTGTTCTGATACTCCATGCCTATCTGTCCGTGATGTTGCCCATGTCTCCCTCTCTGAGCATGACGGCCCAAGGCTTATGAGGAGAGAACCATCCATCTTTCTTTTCTCTTTAAGATACTGGTTCCCATTCGCCCTCAGGCAGCTATCTCAAGTGGCTTTCATCCTAGTGAGCAGTACCTTAAGTCATTTCTGTGCCATCTAGATGGGGAAAAAATTGCACGTGTGCATACACACAAGACACAAATATTCCTCCTTCCCACTCCCCCACCCATGTACGAGGGTATTTCAAAAGTTTGTGGAAAAATAGAATTAAAAGGTAATACAAGTCTTTCCATGGGCTTTTTGAAGTACTTTCGTATTCCTCCTTTCCTCTCCCCCACCCTATGTGTACATAGAATGAAGAGTGTATGGAGGTGTGACTGAGTAACCTCTCTGACTTCCAGAGCAAAAGCACATCCTCAAACCCAGATACACACAGCATGTTCATCCCCTCTGCACGAGACACTTGATTGGTGGAAAAATCTAATTACTAGTATTTATTCTCTTGTTCATTCACACAACAAATATGTATTAAGTGGTAGATGTATTCCCGGCCTTAATCTAGCCATTCTGGATGTAGGGATGACTTGGGCAGTTCTGCCCAAAAGGAGCACATGGTGTGCAGGAGGAAACAAACAGGTAAACAGATACCTGTAATGATGTGAAGAGTACACAGATAGAACTAGTAATGATACAAAATAATGATACCAACATAAAACCCCACCATGATGCAGCAAGTACGGTGTGCAGGAGGAAACAAACGGGTAAACAGATACCTGTAATGATGTGAAGAGTACACAGAACTAGTAATGATACAAAATAATGATACCAACATAAAACCCCACCATGATGCAGCAAGTAGGGCCAGCAGTTCAACTGTGTGAGAAGCTGAACTGTGACTTGGGAAGTCAGTGACCACTGTGGAGGACGGAAGCCAGTGCCAGTCACACCATGGTGCACGTGACCACGGGCTTCATTATGATAGTAATGGCCACGTTCTCTACCCCTTAACATGTGCCAGTGCTAAACTCTTTCATGAATTATGTCTCTTCATCACAGAAATCCTCTGATCTTGGATTGTTACAGCCCTGTTGTAATGAGGCAGAGACTGAGGTTTTGGTGGTGAGCAGCCTGCGTGCTGCCTCCCTGTCGGGCGCTGGGTCAGCCTCTGTGGAATGTGGGTGAGAGGAGCAGCCTGGGAAGTGAAGTCATAGCTGAGCTGTAGTGGTGAACACTTCAGGCTGGCCCGGCTGAAGATGTTCAGCCTCTACAGTTTTCAGTTTATTCAGATACTCCTACTCCCCCATCTCCAAGTTAATGAATTTCCAATGCAAAGGAAATACATTTGATTTTGTACTGGGGCTTTCAAATGAGCCAAACGCAGGAACTTTTGATGTTGATGTTGTGGTTTGTGGTCCCATTTGTTTTGTTTCTGAAGGGTACTTAGGTCACTGGGTAGAGTCAGGGTGTCTACCCCAGCGAGCTGGTCTCCAGGCAGTGGTCTCTGGCTTAGCAGCTGAGCTTGACAGAACTCTGGGCATTCACACAGGCTTGACAAATATCATTGACTTTGCCTCCTCCACCCCTCTAGCTCTTCAGTAGAGAGTCTTCAGGTAGCGTGTGTCAGGGGCTTGTGGAGCCTATGCAAAGATGCAGCCACCCTGGATGGGAGGGAATTTGTCCACTGTTAATCTCTGCAGCATCAGATGCATCATATAGAGGCAAAGAAATTTTCTCCAGACCCAGTCATCATATGAGTTCTTCTTAAAGATATAGAAGGGGTCCCCATTACCAGCAATATAATGATTCTCAATCATTGTGTGACAAGTAAGCAAGTGAAGCTTAGCAATGGCCTGTGACTTGTGGGACTGGCTTTTGCTATAAGCCATGTCGTCTCTTATCTCTCTTCTGATGAACGCCCTCCCCTTTTTTTTAGTCCAGGTACTTAATGAAACAGTGAGAATTTACACATTCACATGCAGGTGCTGAACATCTTGTAAAAACCCACAAACACCTCCCACACACATAAACTTCAGCAGCTGTTTGAAGTTGCATGTAGATTTCAACTGGGGCGACTGTTTATTGAACTTTCAGTAAGTCCCTAGCCTTGAAACATCCTTTTTATGTAATATTTCGTGTAATTCTCATGGCAACCCCATGAAATATCGTACTTTTATTTTCCCTACTTTACATATCAATAGACTGAGGTTTAGAGAGTTTGTGTTACCTTGACCAAGGTCTCATAACTAGAAAGGACAGATTGTAAATGGGTCTCACAGAATCCACAGACAAAGTCATCTAGCAATTTGCCACAGTTACAGAACTAGAAAACAGTGGAGTCAGGACTTGAACCCTGGTCTCCATGACTCCAGAGCCTGTGCTGTTAATAACCATGTTGTCTGGGTCACTCTGTGCCAGTAATCGATTCACTAGATAAGCTAGAGGTTGGTTGATCACTCAAACTCTCTCCTGAGCCTCCCCACCAACTTGGCTAATTATCACTAACCAAACTCATGGAGTCTTCATAAGAACTAACTTTATCCATGTTTAAAGGATGCTTTGTGAAGAACTCCACTTAGAAGTTTAAGACAATTCCATTTCTCCTGTCACACAGAGGAGGACTCTGAGTGGTTTTACTAGACTCTTGGTCAAAGCGTAGGAAGGTCCCAAACCTGTACCATGAATAAAGCGTGTGGTACTTCTTCTGTTCTCTCTTGCTTAGCATTATTCAAAAATTTAATCTCAGAGCATGTAATCCCTCAGTTCTGAAATGCTCGTTGATAGATCTGGACCTGGAATATCCTCTTTAGATTCTGGGCTTCTGAAGGCCAGGCAGAGGATAAATAAAATATGGCCAGTGTTCTCCAGAAGAGTTAAGCCTTGGCACAGTGAATGCATTCTTGCCTCCATCCTAAGGAAATCTTTAAGTAGGCAGAATGATAGGGGGAGTGGGGAAGGAGGGAGAAAGCAATTTAGTGTGGTTAAGGTACCAGTGTGTGGCAAGGCTATACTTGTGGAAGTTTTTGGAGTGCTGTTTGGTGATCAACTCTGCCTACTCTGTTATTCAAACCTCAGATGTGCTATTTGACCTTAGTACATCTGCTCCATTGTAACGTCACAGGTAATGAGTATACAGGAAGCAAGAAAAAAATTTACAGAAGTGACCAAAAAAAATGTTATTTTGGTGTTTCCAAGTAATGCATTTCCTGCAATCCTAATTAGTGCGATGAGAAAACTCATTGCCAAAAAAATGGTGTGGTCTTTGCTTAAACTTCATTCTAAAACTAAGGGGCTTGGGAGGATTAGCCCAATGTGTTTATTTTACATATTCTGAGAGATTCTGGTGCCAGCAGGGCAGAAAAGATGGTGCAAATTGTTATTCAGATATAATTAAACCTAGGTCACATTCAAGTCCATTAAGCAACAGCCTCAAATCCTTTTAATTAATGGGTTCAGATTGGTTGGTCTGAAGGAGCTAATTAAATTTTTTTTTTTCCAAGATTTCCTATTTAAATAGACAAGCACTGTGTTTCATACATTTCTTCCAGAGTTGTTCTTTGCAATTTTGGGTTGATGAAGATATCAGTGCTCCGTGGCAAGCCCTGATTTTCAGAGGTCAGGAAGCACTGTGGGCTCCAGGTCTCTGGCTAACATGCGGAGACCCCCATCCAGCTCTTCTAGGACCTTTGTTATCAGTCAGAAAGGTCTGGACTCCCAGTGGTATCCAGTGCCCAACCACAGTCTGATAGAGGTCATCTGTTTTACCCTGGAGAGCCGGCCCATCCTCTCCAAATCTGATGGCAAGGGCAGATTGTAGAGATCAAAAGCCTTATGGATTGTGATGCTGGCTCCTCATATTTAGTAAAGTTGGAATGTCTCAGGACTAGTGCCTCCCCCTACCCACACATGCCCAGGCCATACCCTATACTCATAAGCTCTCTCTGACAGTCTCATTCCTGTTAACTGTATAATAAGAATAAGATCCAGAGCAGGACCTCCAGACGGTAGAAGAGATTTCCTTTTATCTTCCAGCTTCTGGACTGCTGCTCACCCCACTGGGCTCCAGTGGTTTTTCTGTCCAAGGGGAGATGACCCAGCCAGCAGTAGGAGCTCTGCTGGCCTCTCAAAGCCTCTTTTCTCTCCGGTTCTCTCCCCTGTGGACATCTCTGGCAGTGTGATTTCAAGGTTCGCAGGAAATGAAAGGTTATCCCTCCAAAAAAAACCCCAAAAGTCAGTTGAGTACCCTGTTCTATGCAAAATTAAAGTTAAAAGGATAGAGATAGGTTTTCTCTCCAGAAAACCCGAAAGTTTAGTGTTTTACTTCAGAATTCCTTCCAGAGCCACATGATGCTCAATATGTCAAACACAGGCCCTGCTTAGTGTTGCCCTGGCATTGAGTGCCCAGCACATACATTCTGTGTGTTCTGGTGTTGCCCAGGGAACCCAGCAGCTTGCACTTCGCGCTCTCCAGCAGAACCTTTCTAAGTAATCATTCAGTTAAAGCAACCGCAAAGACAGAGCTGGGGAGAGGGCCTCGGGAAAGGAGAACCCAGTGCACAGCTAAATCCAGTTCAGCATCTCCCTCACTCCCAGGGCCTGGCTGTGTGGGTGTTCCTTGATGTGATGACAGAAGGAAACAATGCCCAGGGGCCCGGTTATCCTTTGTCACTGGATGTGCCTCTGGGGACTGGAGCGATTTCAGAACTGGCTCCTTGATGTGGGTAGGGAGAATGCACACTTTACCAAGCCTGGTTGGGCCCTGCCCATCAACAGCCTACAGCCCTCCAGCAGTGTGAAATATAGGCACAGGGAGGGGATGTAGGGAGACATTTCTGGGCACTGTTAGTTCATTTTTAGTCCCAGGAATCAGCGCCACTGAACTGCAGCATGTCCCCTTTGTCCCGGCGGCTCCCAGCTGCTGTGGTTGCAGAGAGGACTCTGCAAGCAGGTTTTTGCTGCCATCTATTGTCTGCCTTGGGGAAAATGCATGGCTTCTCGCTGGACTGGAAAGCAGCCTTGCAGATGGAGCAACTCAGCACCCTCTCCCCACACTGAGGGGAAAATAAAAACCAAGATGTTGGTGTGCCCCAGTGAAAACCTCCTTCTGAAAACCTGTGTTTACTGACCTACCATTGTTTTAAAGCAGTTCCATTTGAACTGTAATCAAACCGCCAAGTGACCTTTCTGTCCCTCCGCCCAGAGTCCTTGAAAGGGCCTGTTGTTCCTTTGGTTCAATGAAGAAACCTTCTGTTTAGTTAAGCAAGTGTTTTTCCAGTCATGTCTCCTCGTGAGTTACAGAAAGATTATTGTTGGGTCTTGGTATTTGTTGTTGTTTTTCTTTTAAAATCCCGACCTCCCTTCCCCCTCATCACCCCCCAACACGTATTTCTTTACTCTCTCAGCAGAGAAGGAAAACATAGCAGCTTCGTGAGGCCTTTAAAAGTCCCCAGTTATGTTATTCAGATGGTGGTATAAGCCAACTTCTCTTTGCCCCACCCCCAGGGCCTGGGAACCTTTCAGAGTCTCTGAGGTATCCACACAGGAATGGACCACAGCATAGCCCCCTGGGAGCCAGGGGCCCCATCCTGACTGATGTGTTTATATGGTGTGTATTTTCTGTCTTACAGTTGTTCGTTGGACTTGGGTTCCCCTATGAGGGCCCGGCTCCCTTGGAGGCTATCGCAAATGGATGCGCTTTTCTGAATCCCAAGTTCAATCCACCCAAGAGCAGCAAAAACACAGACTTTTTCATTGGCAAGCCAACTCTGAGAGAGGTAAGTAAGCATCTATCAAAATCATTCTACTTGCCATAATACGAATAGTAGCTATTTATTGAGTACAAACGTAAGTTTTAACTTCATTTAACATGGTTAGGTCAGAGTGGGAGGGTGTGGAGGGGCTGATCCTGAGGCTCAGAGACTTGAATGACTTGATCACATTTCCCTCCTAGTTACTGGCAGGGTCAGAATTTGAATCCACATCTGCATTCACAGAGTGAGGAATCTTTTCACTCTACCCCAACCCTGTCTTACTGTGGAACAAGCATCTAGCCTTCTGATTATAGGTGAACTCTGATTTTCTGAACGTTTGGAGTTTAGGGAATGAGGAGATCAAGGTTAACAGATATTTCTGGAGAATGTTCTCTCCATGCTGGGCTGTGGAGAATCAAAAGTGGGCTGTGAGCGTTCGCAAAGAACCATCAGCCTCAAGAGATAAGACGTAGCATGGGTGACTGAAGTAATATGCCCGATTTTTCAGCCCACCTTCAGCAGGTGTCATCCTGAGAAGTAATCCTGCAATTGCTAGAACCATTTGCAGAAGGCATATTTGAATTGCCTTCAGTGGTCCTCTTGAAAATCCACAGTGGGTGATGAATCACCACTGAGGGTGGTTGGATTTGATTTGGGACAATAAACAAAATTCATTTACAGTTAGTGTAAATGATCAAGCTGAGTGGTTCTGTATCTGGTCAGAAACAGGTGTGTGCAAGAAATCATAAGACTGATTTTCTTATTATCCCTGTGTTGTTAGTAAGTGGCTCTGTGGGCTGCTTACAAAGAGGAAGTCATAGCAGAATCCTTTCCATTTGGGGTCATCAACTGGGGCATTACACCGATGGGCAATCCCTCCCACGACAGCAGCAATATAGAAGGACTGATTTTAAAGCATACGTTTTTCAGTTCTGCTGCTTTTAAATCCTGATATCCATCCTGCAAATAGTATATAAAATGCATTTTTAATGATTATTCTTTATTGATCAGTCAGGAATCTTTCCGGTTAATAGAATCGATCATTTTGATAGTTCTTTTCTCTTACCCTTTCTATCTTTGGTGAAATGGCCAAAGGAGATGGAGGAAGATCAACAAGATCCATAGATTTTCTTAAAAGGTTACCCTGTGGCCCGGATAACCTCTGACAAGATTAACTGTGTATTTGCCCGTGTGCTTTTTCCTTCTGCTGGTATAATAAGTTTGAATTATGCATTTGGGGGAATGTTTTCTTTTTAGAGGTCAGTTCATTCATTCATTACTCAGTAATACTTAATGCACACCCGTGTGCCAGGTGCTGTGGGAGGGGGCTAGGGCACAGATATCAAGAACATTCAGTCTGCCATCAAAGAGCTTATTCTTTGGAAAGGTTTAAAAAGACACTCTAGCAGCGAGAACATCTTTATTTAGGAATCTGTTTCAGCATGTGACTGACTTCCTTGAAACTTTGGAGTTTAGTGTAGAAAATAGAATAATAAATCATTCCTAGGGTTTTTTGTTTATTTTTGACAAATAAAAATTGTATAGATTTGAGGCATACAACTTGATGTTTTGATATATGTATACATTGTGAAATGATAACCACAATCAAGCTAATTAACATATCCATCATCTTCGGAGAGCACGGTGCTGACAACACCAAATCAAGGGTAAGGTCCCATTACCAGTCACCTTAAAAAAAAAAAAAATCCATTACCTGATATAGATATAGATTGATATATAGATATATTGTGTGTGTGTGTGTGTGTGTGGTGAGAACATTTAAGATCTACCCTCTTGGCAAATTTCAAGTATACAATACAGTATTGTTAACCATAGTCACAGTGCTCCAGAACTTACTCATCTCACATAACTCAAACTTTGTACCCTTTGACCAACATCTCCCCATTTCTCACCCCCCCACCCCACCCCCCGCCCGTAGCAGCCATTGGTCTACTAAGTGCTTCTATGAGTTTGGCTATTTTAGATTCCACATGTGAGATCTTGCAGTATTTGTCTTTGTGTGTCCGGCTTACTTCACTTACCATAATGTCCTTCAGGTTTATGCATGTCACAGATGGCAGGATTTCCTTCTTTCTTCAGGCTAAATAATATTTCAATGGATGAATCATTTATCCATTCATCCATTGATAGACACCTAGGTTGTTTCCATATCTTGGCTATTGTGAATAATGCTGCAATGAACATGGGACTGCAGAAATCTCTTCCACATACTGATTTTAAATCTTTTGAACAAATACCCAGAAGTGAGATTGCTGGATCATAGGGTAGTTCTATTTTTAATTTTTTGAGGAACCTCCATACTGTTTTCCATAATGGCTATATTAATTGACATTTCCACCAACAGTATACAAGGGTTCCCTTTTTACCACATCCTCTCCAACACTTGTTATCTTTTGTCTTTTTGATAAAGGCATTCTAACAGGCATGAGGTGCTATCTCATTGTGGCTTTGATTTGCATGTTCCTGATTAATGATGTTGAACACCTTTTCACATATCTGTTGGCCTTTTGCATGACTTCTTTTGAGAAATGTCTGTTTAGGTCCTTTGCCTATTTTTTCCATTGGGTTATTTCGGGGGTTTGTTTGCTTGCTTGCTATTGAGTCATAGGAGTTCCTTATATATTTTGGATACTGGCCTCTTATCAGATATATGGTTTGCAATTCCATAGGTTACCTTTTCACTCTGTTTATTTCTTTTGCTGTGCAGAAGCTTTTTTTGTTGCCTATGTTTTGTTGGCATTATATCCAAAAACTCATTGCCAATGACAAGAAGCTTTTTCCTTAGATTTTTTTTTTCTCGTAGTTGTACTATTTCAGGTCTTAGATTTAAGCCTAATCCATTTTGATTTTGGGTGTGAGATAAGGATCCAGTTTCATTCTTCTGCATGTGGATATCCAGTTTTCCCAACACTATTGGTGAGACTGTATTTCCCCATTGAGTGTTCTTGGCTCCCATGTTGAAGATCAGTTGACTGTAAATGTGTGCATTTATTTCTGGGCCATCTCTTATGTTCCATTGGTCTGTACGTCTGTTTTTATGCTGGAATCATCTATAGGTTTTTTATTTAGGTGTAGCAAATCTCTGAAGTTCTACATCTGCCCAAGTTATGTATATCATTTGTAATTTTCCATGTTTTCATAACATAAAACTTACATTTAACCATTCTTAAGTATACAATTCACTGTCATTAAGTATCTTCACAATGTTGTGCAACCAGCTACTATTCATTTCCAGAACTTACTCATCGTCCCAAACAAAAATTCTATACCCATTAAACACTAACTCCCCATTCTACCCTCCCACCAGCCCCTGATAACCTCTCTTCTACCTTCTGTCTCTATAAATTTGCCTGTTCTAGGTACCTTGTGTATGTGGAGTCATATAGTATTTGTCCTTTTGTGTCTGGCTTATTCACTTAGCATAATGTTTTCAAAGTTCATTCATGCTATAGCATATGTCAGAATCTCATTCCTTTTTTAAGGCTGAATATTCCATTGTATGTATATACCACATGTTGTTTATCCATTCATCTGTTGATGGACATTTGGGTTGTTTCCACATTTTGTCTATTGTGAATAATGCTACTATGAACATTGGTATACAAGTATCTGAGTCCCTGCCTTCAATTCTTTTAGGTATATGTCTACAAGTGGAATTGATAAAATTTACTTATTATTTATTTTGAAATAATTTTAGTTGTACAGAAGTTGCAAAAGTAATAGAGTTCAGGTATACCTTTCATCAGTTTCCTCTAATGGTAACATTTTACAAAACCACAGTCCAATGATCAAAATTAAAAAATTAACATTGGTACCATCATATTATCTAAGCTACAGACTTTATTTGGACTTCACCAATTTTTCCACCAAGATCCTTTTTCTGTTTCAGGGTCCAATCCAGGATTCCAAATTGCATTTAATCGTCACGTCTCCTTAGCTTCCCTCAGACTGTGACAGTTCTTTAGTGTTTCATTATCATTTGTGACCTACTGGTCAGTTTTTGGTACACTGTCCCTCAGTTTGGATTTGACTGATGTTTTCTCATGATGAGTTTGAAGTTACACATTTTTGTCAAGAATACCACACATGTGCCCTTTTCAGCACATTGTATGAAAGCATGATGTCAATATGTCTTATTACTAGTGATGTTAACCTTGATCACTTGCTTTAGGAAGTGTTTGCTAGGTTTCTGCTCTATAAAGTTACTATTTTTTCCCTGTCTTAAGGGAAAAACTTTAAGACTGTGCAAATATCCTATTTTTCCTCAGACTCTTGCCCATGTATTTCTTACACCATATTGCAGTAGATCTGGTCTGTAATAGTTATCCTGTGGTGTTTTGATTGTGATTGTCTATTTCCCTCATCAGGATTTTTTTTAATGCATGAAAAGCAACAAAACCCACTTTTTTTTTTTTTTTTTTTTTTTGTTTCCATATACAAGCCTTTGGGAAATGATGAATCAAATTTATCTTAGACTAAGTTTGCAACCAGCACCTTTTTATTAATGCTTATTCTGAAGATTTTTTTTTTTTTTTTTTTTTTTTTTTTTTTTTTTTTTTTTTTTTTTCTACTGATTGATATACAGTGAAGTCGCTTAGATCAGACAGTTCTCAATAAATTAACAAGGAAAAACATAACATGCAAAGGGGGACTAATGAATCACAAAATGCCTTCCTCATAAAATTAAGTAACCCTCAATAAATGTCAGTGAATAAAAGGATAATGGCTCAGTCTTTCATATTTTCCAGATGCTTAGAGCAACCTTGTAAATAAGCAGGACCTTAAAAGGAGGAGGGGAGAGAGGCTGCTGATAGGTAAATCACTAAATAGTGACATTGATGACAACTTTAATTTACCCTGATTCCGTTGGAAGAACTAATTAGTTTGTTCTCCAGGCCACAAAATGAAAACGATGTGACATTTTGCTCGTCTTCAGAAAAGGTCTAATAGAGGCATAAATTCATTTCTGGGATTTTTTCAGGTTGGCAAATTTTAAGAACAAG